ATCTGAGCTCCGCCCACTTTAGTGCCAACCACGCCCACTTCTAAGATTTGACCACATTTGCTATTTTACACCTTAGTACCTTTTTGGCGCATTCTAGAACGTTTCTGAATAGAGTTATAAATTCTTGATCTGAGCTCCGCCCACTTTGGTGTCAACCACGCCCACTTTAAGCATTTGACCACATTTGCTATTTTACACCTTACCACTTTTTTTGCCGCGTCCCGGAACGTTTCTGAACAGAGTTATGAATTTTTGATCTGAGCTCCGCCCACTTTAGTGCCAACCACGCCCACTTCTAAGATTTGACCACATTTGTTCCATTATCTCTAGCCACTTTTTTCCCGCACTCTAGAACGTTTCCAAGCAAAGTTGCGTTCATTTTTGAAAAGTGGCTTTCGTCTCAACGCACGCTCCGCCCATCGTGGGCGGGGTTCGCCAAGCTTACGCATGCCCAACACGCATGAGGCTCTGCTCACTTTTCTTCTTTTTTTCCTGACCTCTGAGCCTTAAATGAATCGAGTTATGAATACATTTGAAAAGTACCGCCCATTTTGAGAAAGCTCCGCCCACAGCACGTGGGTCTTCTCCGTCTGGTTTGTTGACCGAATCCTCACCTTTGAACATTTTTCCCCGGTGTCTGGACTTTTTCGAAGCCAAAATAAGATGTTTTACTGTTGGCACCGAACACTTCGGCAGATGCCCCGCCCCCGGTGGGCGGAGCTCTCCAGAGCTCATATGTGCTCTATTAATCTTGTCCCAGGCTCCACCAATCCCGAACTTGTCCCGACCTCTAAAGGTGTTTTTTTCGGTGAAACCGAATTGCGTGAACACACAGACATACATACATACAAACATACATACAAACAGACACACCAAACTTGTGGATTATATATAGAGAGATTGATGATATCTATGCTAGATTCACTTGTATCATCCACAACCTCATCAAGCAATTTGTTCCTCTTCTTAAGTGCATTGAAACTCATATGGATAGTTATCCACAGCACATCTTGAACTTATTAGAACAGCGAGAGAGGATTTTTGAGGAAAACTCGAATGTTCCTGATTCAAATTCATTCTCGTATCTGAGTAGAGAACATGACCGCCACTTGAAGCGCTTCCTCAACTATAAGGTTAAGAAGTTAGCCGAGAGAGGCAACATCAAGCATTTAGCGGCACATGTAAATAAATTCCTTAGACAAAGAGGAGCTAAGCGTAGTCTACTGGGACTGAATGGTGAAAAATACACCACTGATCACGATAAAGCTGAGGCTCTTGCCGACTATTTTGATAGTGTCTTCACCCCAGCCTCGGACAAACTTCAAAACTCATCTGCTCACATTAGGACTGCCCCAATTGGAAGTCTGCTTCCCTGATGGAACTCCAAAAAGAATGTGTGATAGTACAAAAGATCTTTGAGTGAATTTGACCCAAAGCCTGAAGTGAAGCGCACACATAGAAACTGTTCCACAACAGTCCACATGCTGTTCAGAAATATACATAGTTCCGAAACTACAGTCTGGATTAAGCTGTATAGAATGTATGTTTTACCCGTAATAGAGTACTGTAGTCCAGTTTGGAGTCCTTCTTCAGTGGGTGATGTTCAGAAAATAGAAAGAATTCAGAGAAATTTTACTAGGATTCTATTTTACCGAGTCTTCCCGTCCAGAAAATACCCACAGGCCTTACCCGAGTATCAAGAACGTCTGGAGAGATTGAATTTGAAAGGTCTTTACTATAGACGGGTTCAATCAGATTTAATTTTAGCATTCAAGCTTCTGAAAGGTGAACTTCGCATTAAGCCGTCACAAACTCCAACCAATTCAAAAGAGCCATTAAAAAGATCAATGTTCTAGAGTCACTAGGCATTCCTGATGTTGTTTGAGGCTGAGCTTGCCCCCATCCTCATTCACTCGTTTTATGAATCACTCGAATGATTGCTCTCCAAACAGTTTTTTAGTGTGTTCTTTCCAATATCCTGATCTTTCTCACACTGATCTTGTCTGGATCTTATCCTCCACAACTATTCTAGGTTTCTGACAGGCTACTTGATGTTTCTGATGGTAGGTTTCTCCTTGTTGGTTGACCAATGGTTTGGTGGCTGATTGAAGGCTCCGGGCGCATGCATGTGGGTGGTACACTTTACTCCCCTAGTTTTCCGCGTTTCCACGAGGGAGGTCGGTATACCCGTGTCTCGGAGTTGCGGTAAGCCCCTATGACCCCTGAGGTGGCGACTGGGCACCATAGCCAACTGGTGCAGGAGGGTATCGGGTCCGAACTCACGCGCATGCGAGCTGGAGCTGACACGGTGTCGCTGGGACGTATTGGGCTAGGGACGAGCAGTTAACCACCATCCAAGCAGCAAGTGCCTTTTTTCATACGTTTGGACGCAAATCAGCCCAATCTTTTTCGCATCTTTTTTTCTATATTTTTCCATTTCTATCAAGTGCTTCAGAAAACTGAATTTTTCGTATTATTTTTTGCTACCATCCGTTATGTTCGTTTGAATCTAGATTTGATTTGCGTAAGTTTATCGTTATTATGAAGTCAGACCCTTTTTTACCCCTGGCTAAAACTGATTTTTTATAGAAGCGCGTCGGTCGATGCACACTAAATAAATAAATACCCATAACACGTCCGAAGTCGAAGACACGGTCGCAGAAGAAAAAATAGTGTGCCATCATCACGAAAGAGAGTCAAAGTTGCCGATTTCTTAGTTGAAGGCCAGTTGAAGTTTCTACAAAAAGACGGAACAGCGGCCCCAGTTGTTCCGGATGAACATAGGAGAAAAGTTTTCGGCAAGAACCAACCACAGTGGCTCTCTAGCAAGGCATCATTCCGCCAAGAAGATGCTAAAAAACTGCAAAAACTTGTCTTCTGGGATGGTATGCACAGCGATATCTACCGCTGGGCAAAAAGCTGCACGAGCTGCTTGTTGACAAATCCGCACAAGCGCATGAGCCCGCCGCTGAAACCGTTTGTCACAGGCAAACCATTCAAGATAGTCGCAGCTGACACACTGGAGATGAGCACCAGTCTGTCGGGAATGGAATAAGTGCTAGTCGTGGTCGACCATTTCTCCAAATGAGAAGGTGCATATGCAATGCCTGACAAAAGTGCGGCTACAGTCGTGACCACTTTATTTCATCGTTGGCTATGTGAAGGAGGGCGTTGGCCCAAACAAATTCACACTGATCGAGGTACAGAATCTCTGAATTTCTTGCTGGATGAGCTAGCAACCGTGGTTGGAATTAAGCACTCCGTCACCAAGGGATATAACTATAGAGAAAATGGGATCAATGAACGTGTCATTGGAACTATTCAAAGCATGCTGAAAAAGAAGAGCCCGATAAGTGGGACGTGGTGCTACCTCATGTAGTTTATGCATAGAACGTTACCCCACACGAAGCTACAGGTGAGACCCCCTTCTTTATATTGCATGGAATTGACCCTGTCATACCTTTATCTACCATGCCAAGTGCTGATGCTTCCAAGTACAAGGTAATCGTCGACGATTATCGAACAGATTTACTTAATGGACTTCAGCTAATTAGAGAGGAGGTACGAGCCAAAAATGAGAAATATAGGGCTAAAATGAAGGAAGCGTATGATGAGCGTAAGAACGTGAACGTTCTTTCTATTCCAGCGGTGGGAGGAAGGGTGTTCATGAAACTACCACGAGAAAAGGCTTAAGGAAAACATCCCAAATTGACCATAGACTGGGACAGGCCGTATCGCGAATTGCAAACTGACGAAACTTTAGCCCTGATCACTAAAATAGGCAGCAATGAAGATGCAATCAAAGTTCAGCGTGACTTACTTCTCACATGTCCAGATGACATTTCAAACGAGCAAGTGAGTGGGAAGACTAGGAGGAAGAGAGTGAAGAGAGTGTTAAAAATTTCCGTATCTTCTTGCTCATTTCAGAAAGGAACTCGATTTCGATGTTCCTGATGATGGTCACAAGTTGCACGCTAGTTTCGATGCCGAGGCCAAGATTTCCCGGCGATAAAAGGAGGGCTAAGTTTTTCACTTGCGAACTGCTGTCTTTCGAAGACGTTGACCACAGGAGGCCTGAAACAGCACTGCCTCATCCGACGAGAGCCATGCCGATCGAGTGCGTAATAGATGCTGGCCGCGTCTTCGCAATTTGGACACAACCCGCCTGCGTAGCGCTGAAAGAACAGCGCATTAGGAACTTGGACGACAAAGTGATCGACCCACGTGCGTTGGGCTTTGCATATGCGGTGTTCAGAAACGAGTGTGCCCATGTCAGTAATATGGCGCGGGCCATTGAGCCAGATTCCATCGTGCGCCACAGGTCGCTAACAGGAGGATGGCCGACGGTGCCGAAAAGAATCTTAGAGATCGGCTGGCTGATTACGAAAAAAAGGGAACGAATTTGACACAAGTTCGATGTTGAACCGAGTCATAACCGCATTTTCATCGTTGTGCCCATAGTGTTGAGAACAATGGCATGGATGTCTGGCGGTAGTCGCACACGTGTGTTCTTCTACGGTGAATTTTCAGCAATTAAGACGAAGCTAGACAGCCTCTTCACAGACGACCTTGGAGCCGTGGTTTCAATCCTGCCGCCGGAAGAGCCGCGTAAAGTAACCGCATGGCTCGCGCTAATGACTGCTATAGATCTCTAGACTGCCTGCGGCACAACGGTAAACCTGGTGAATGGACCCCGAATGTAGTCAGTTGGTAGCACGTCACCATCAAGATGAGAAGCCACGTTCTAAGTTATGTGTCAGGACAGCCAGAATGGTCACAGCTTATTGTGGATGTTCTACAACAGAACATCGGGCTTATGGTTCACGGGCCGCTTGGGCTGCTATGGGAATACTCAAAAACGCTGAAGAATGGATGTCTGAGGAAAGTACCCGCACATTCTAACAGTTTCTACGATAACAATTGGAGCCCATGTTGACACTGGAAGAGCTTCGGCATGCGCCTTTTCGAGCACAAAAACGGAGGGAACCAGGACCCTCCAAAGGGAAGCTCTGGTGGGCTTCATGGTGTCTTGGATTCAACCGAAAACACCGGAAAAAGGCGCAGAACAGACTGCGGGACAGGATCAGGGCTGCCACACACAAGATGCAAGAGTTATAAGTTGTTACGGTATTGTGGAGTGGAGCCACAATGTTTTTTTTAACCCGCGGCATGTCGGAAAGGTTGGTCAAATGTGGCCGGTGACCGCCAAGCGATACGGTGGGTGGTCCTATTCTGACCACCTACCGTGCAGTTGGCAAGAATGCCGCGGGAACTACCGTATAAAAGGGCAAGAAAAACACAAGTAGGGGTTCTCTAATTCGGATTCTACTGTCGTCGTCGTGACGCCACCGCCGTTCGACGTCAGCTCCACTAAACTCGCCACCCAGCTCCACTACCTCATCAATTATTCGATCTATTCTTATCATGTTCTTACTCATTAATTGCTGTTACTAGTTCATAAAGTTGATAGTGTGAAGAGTTGTACTGTGACCACAAAAAAGAAAACAGGGGTACACACATACATCCCACAATTTTGACTCCAGACGCCGGGCAAAAATGGGTCAAGGTGAGGGATGGGTCAACAAGTGAAATGAAGGAGACTTCCCAGCGGTGGACGGAGCGTTCTCGCAGCGGGCGGAACTCATCACATAAGATCATAACTCGATTGAAAGGAAGCGTGGAAGCCACAAAAAAATAAAGGGAAGTACAGGATAAAGGCCTTATGCGTGCCGAACATACGCAAACATGTCGAAGCTCAGCCCACAGCAGGCGAGGCGCGCATTGTAGTGTTAGTTTCTTTTCGAAAAAACTCAAAACTCTGCTCAAAAATGTTTTACAACGTGGAAAGTAAGTGGTCAAAGGGTATAGAGGAAATATTGGCAAATCCTTGAACTGGGCGGGGCTTGCACTAGGGTGAGCGGGGCTAAGATCAAAAATCCATAGCTCCGTTCAAATACGTCCAGAATGCGGGGACAGCGTGGTCAGAGGCTTCAGAAGGTCTATGGTCAAAACTCTATAGAGTGAGTGTGGTTTGCACCAAGGTGGGCGGGGCTACGATCGAAAATTCATAACTCTGTTTAAAGATGTTCTAGAATGCGGTAAAAGCTCGGTTGGAGGTAATGGAAGGCATGTGGCCAAATCGCTGAAATAAGCGGGCCTGCATTAAGGTAGGCGTGGCTAAGATAAAAAGTTTATAACTCTGTCCAAAAATGTTCTAGAGCGCGGGAAGAAAGTAGTTGGAGGAAAGGGAAGAAATGTGGACAAACACCTGTCTTGACTCGAGTTTGCACAAGGGGTGGGCGGGCTAAGATCGAAAATTCATATCTATGATTGAAAACGCTCTAAAACGCGGAGAAATTGGTTAAGGGCAGCTAAAAAAGGATTGTTCAAGTTTTCATAATGAGATCTACATTGAGGTGGACGCTTCCGTGTTCAACCACTAATAATTTTGCACAAAAGAAATATACGGAGCGAGATGCTCTCAAAGCAGTTCAGCGTTCAAATCAAGAGAGAACTATATTATTCTGATCATCCAACACTGCGCTGAATGACTCTATCGTAGAGCATCTGTCGTGGACATAAAATGCACGCGTTCGCGTGCATAGCCCAACTGGTATACTCAGAAAGGCAGTATTTAGATCCAAATCTGCCTACTTCGCACTTTCCTCGCATATCCATTCGCTCGCCTGCGGGCGACCTTCCCTAATTGGTTGGATGGCGAGCGCTCTAGCAGCCTCAGTGAACTGATAGTGATTACATGATTGAGAACTTTATCGTTATTATACTGTGGTCCTTGGGAATAAGGAGCAACAGGAGCAGGTTACTTTGGTTTAGAGCCGCAGAAATTCAGCGTGGTCCAAACGAGACATTGTGCTCATCGGATGACAAGCACAGTGCAGAGGAAATCTATAATGCTTTCACCTACATGCTCAAATACCTTCAAAGATCCCTAAGAAAGCGATAAAGGTGTCTGAAAAAAGTGTGAAAGGATACTTTCTGTTAACTAGTTTGCTTGCAGGCGCTTTGAGAGGATGAGTGCTTTCCACAATGCAATAAACTCATTCCCCCTCTCCACGATTTTCCAATGAATACTTTATCTTCCACAGCTTTCTGACCTGAGTCTGGCAGAGAGGTCAGCAGCCAACATATTAAGCGAGGTCATCCCACAGGCAGTGAGTGGATGTGCGAGGAAGGCGCGAAGTAGGCAGATTTGGATCTATTAGCTTGTAAGGAAAGTTCTTGCCGTTTCCGCATATAAATTCAAATTTGGGCAGCTATCAGATCAGACCGAATCGATGTGTTATGCTCCTCATGTGAGCCATAAGTCGCTTCTTCTGTCAGAGCACTATTCACGAAGTTCGGTAAAGTGTTTAATATATTCAAGACGTTTTCTTCCAAAATGGGTAGGACCGCTTTTTGAACGACTTTACTTCATGAGTTCAAGCTTGGTGGAACTGCGAAAGCGGCAGCTACAAACATCAACGTTGCATGGGGAGAAGGCACTGCATTGGAGCAAACAGTTCGACACCAGTTTCAGAAGTTGATAAATAAAGACGAGTAACTACAAGGCAAAGAGCGATTTGGTCGCTTATCACGATGATTTTCTAAGTGCAAATGAGGAAGATCGACGTCAACAATTGAGAGGGACTACCATGCATATGGGCGTTTCCCAAACAGTCGTAGTTGACCATCTCAAGCAACTTGGAGTGGTGAAGAAGCTTGACAAGTGGATGCCACACCAACTTACGGAGCAGCAACAATTGAGACGCCATGAAATTTCAAGTTTCTTGCTGAGAAAGCATGATTTTGAGTCATTTCTTCAACGTGTTGTAACGTGTGATAAAAATGGATCGTATGTGACAACAAGAAACGTTTTGCGCGGTGGACAGGTGTAGATGAGCCTCCAAAAACTTTTCCCGAGCCAATTTCACACTTCAAGAAGACAATGATAACAGTTTGGTGGACTAGCCATGGATTGATCCACTACTCGTTTCATCGTCCGATTTACCCATTGCCGCATAGTCCTGCTACGATCAAATTCACGAGATGTACACGAAACTAAAGCGAATGTAGCCAGCACTAGTGAATCGCCTGCTTTTGCACAACAGTGGCCATGTGTCACTAATCGTCTTCCAGAAGTTGAACGAGCTGCGGACCGAATCTCTCCTTCATCCACGCTACTCATCAGACGTGCCAGCAACTGGCTTTTATTTATTCAAACATCTGGACAACTTTTCAAAGGATCGAGAGCTCAAAAATCAAGTCGGCATGGGAGCTGCCTTGCTCGAATTCACGGAATCGATTCTTGAATTCTTGGACTCCAGATCACGGTCTTTATTAGAATAGGATAAGCAAATGTGCACGTTGGACTAGATGTGTAGATTCGAATGGCGAATGGGACTTATACTGAATAAAAATGGTAAATTTGTGGTGAGTTATGATTTTTGAAAATTAGCTGTTAAAATGGCAAGAACTTTCCTTACAACCTAATAAATTAACTCACCCGTATACTCATTACGGAGAATGTTCTAGGATGTTTTACCACTGCCACATGGTACATCACTGGCATTGATTAATAATCGAAAATTCAGTTCCATCAAAACTTTTGATCAACCTATTATTTCACGGCAACCCGCACTCCCCGACCCTCTGTGGGAGGAGAGCAGCCCTCCGATCCACCACGATCCGCCGACCCAACCTACCACCTGTATTTTTACCAAATTCGAAAGTAGGAACTCAAATTAGCAATTTTTGCGCAAATCTACCACCCGTGGGCAGAGTCTTCCACCCATCACAATTGTTCCCATCTTGCGGCCTGTATTCCTACCACGTCTGAACGCTTCAAGTTCACGGGGACAGAAGTTATGAATTTTCCGGTCGACACACACATACACATACACACACAAACACTCAGACGTTAGCGCGCTATACATAGTAGGATTATACAAACTCAT